CACGCAGAATCTCAATCCACTCTAATTGCCTAATTGCTATGAATCTTGTGAGTGGGGGATGCCTACGTTTTAGTTAGAAGGATAAATTGACGGCCTAAAACAAGGTCAAACGGAACTCGTAGTTACAGGGAACCAAGCGCAGTGCAACTAGAATATGAATTTCGGAATTCAGATGTGAAAACTGTGCCATTAACGTGTTTCGAGTAAACACATCGTTACATACCTACCTACCTACATAATAAGATTTCTGAAACCGATGGTCCGCCGATATACATATTTGAAGCAGGAATTGCATCCATGTGTATGCGGTTGTAAAGCGTACACCGAATGAAGGCACAACTGTCATCTGCGATTGATTGCACTTTGACCATTTATTCGAGCGGAGACGTGTGAAGGAAGGGTATCTGCGTTTTCTTCAGATACACGTTTGAGGAAACAACAATTCGGATAACCGTTAAACCACCCATAAACTTTAGTCCTAGTGCTATCGTTGCATGTTTGATGAGCTGTAATATATTGCGGCATTCGTGTGATTTTTGTAGAGGTTGCTTTTTGTTCATGTTTTGCCACTAGTAGCTGAATCAGCCAATCAGTTTGCTTTGTGTCACAGGAATGTTTGAAAGAAGCTGGAAGTTGATTTTGGCTTCTGAATGTACCTTTGGCACAGTGAACAGGCAATTTTCTAGTCTAAACAACGACGCAACTCCTAGTTATAAATAAATGACCACGTGTACAACAAAGGCTGGATTTGAGAAGCGCATTAGCTACTGATATCGTAAACGCGTTGCGCCGTCCTAGAAAAAAAATATCAAAACAATAAAGCGAGAAATGAAATGCCGCACGGTGCGTCGTATTGCTATGAGGTATTTCTCACTTTTGTGAGTAGTGTGTGCTCACAAAGAATTGACTCTTCAATGCATCTCCGAATGGCGTGAATTATTGTTCTATTGTAAATACGGAAGGAACAAACAGACTGTCGGGCTGATGATCACCGACAAAGAGACGTTCAATAAAACACTAACCAACTGCTTCAAATTAGATGTTTCCTTTTTTGTAATCTTATTTAACCCTAGTCCATGCTGTTCATTGAATATACAGCTCTCCTCGTCCCGGCACAGAACTTGTGGAATTATAACAGACGGAGACAATCGGGGTGATAGAATCAGGAGCTTCCATGGTCGAATAAATTTCGTAGAACTCTGCCCGTTTAATTAGACAGGCTATCCATCAGCGTCATAACCTCACTGCTCTCTTGTATTGCACAGCTGGATCGTTGAAAGACGAGACCCCCCCCTCCCACAGCCAAGCTGGTAGGATAGCGGTTGTTTAGGTTGACATCGAAATTTGCTACTTCTCACGGTCCAAAAAGTCCTTCCGAAAATTAAAACTATCAAGCAGAAAACGATATTCAATGTGGTAGCCTTGAACAAAGTTGTGAACAATAGCTGAGGAAAAAGCTGAAGATAAGGCGTGTGAGCGATTCGCCTTGAAGCTTCGTTCATACGAGCAATCGTAGTGGGAAAAACATGGCGCAGTTTGGGTTACGCAAAATCGATAACCACAAACTAAACTAAACTAAAACTCAGATTCAAAACACTCTATCGATTTGGTCATTATGACTAGCGGATCATTCGATCGAATAACACGGAAAGACCGAACCTCATATTGATTCGAATCATATACGAACATCCTGACGATCTGATTACACTCAGACTATTGAACATAATGACTGAGAGCAGTTTCATTGATTCGTTCCGACTGAATGGTAGTAATTTTGTAGAGTTATTTGACAGGGGGCGCTTTCTGCGTGTGCTTGAACCAGAGCCCAATTTTCAATGCTATTAACTAGACTTAAGTAGACCGGCCGATTCATTGTTTTATCTTACACGACCAACGATAGGCTTGTTTATCAACTATGTCCTATATGAGAAGAGAACGACCCGATATGGTTAAGATACAAATTGTTTGTAGTATCACTAGTCTCTAGATTAACAACACTTAGCAGAAGGTACCAAAGCTGCTATCCGGCTTCACCACCTGAAGTGAACACTTCATAGAAATGAACTTTTAGGAGTTCAGCTGTTCCAGATGTAGTAGTGGAAACGCGTCCTGCATGCCTTAGTGCCAGTATTCCGTATTTCACTTTTCTGGTGGCATGGATTTAGAAGCTTTGGATTGGAAATAAATTTGTGCCAGGTTTTTTTTTAAACTTCGTTTATATTCTTCCACCAATTTTACGCAGAGGTTTTTCAACATGATATATTTATTCCAGGTGTCGGCAGTTAGACATCTTTTGAACTTACGACAGGAGAAATTGCTGCGGTACCTATTTTTTGTTCGACTGCGAATAGGTGATAATCGTGTATGTACCGACAGGCTTGGTTTTCGTAGTGGCTTTTATGGGTTTAGTTAGAGTGCCAATGAGACGCATCCTAGGGCATTATTAGATTAGGCTGTTCTGGTTGAGTTCATTGCTTGCAAGCAACAAGGTTCTGAAATTTTCTGTATTCAATGAGGGTAAGCGTGTTGATTTTCAGTCATTCTTTTATAGAGGCATCGTATATGTAATCGAAAAGCATAAATGCTTGGTCGCTGCATCCTAATGGAGATATTATTTGGACAGGTCCTATCCATTCGCTGATTCGCCAGGATAATGAGCATCAAACTATCTATCTTCAGGAGTTTTGATTTTCCATCATAAGGCGACAGGTGCAAAAACAACCTTCTGACGAGAAGCTGATAGCAAATTAACAGATATGGTATTTCGTTCTTGTTCCGATAAAAAACACTCCAAGTAGGGATTCAAGAAATAACAATAGTTCACGAAGAATAGTTTGCAACAAGTGAGCATCGTAAGTGTTAATGAATATGGTTCCATTCATAAACAGACTCTATCAATTACTAACAGATAATTGTGCATACAATCTCACAGAGCACATTTCAAATAGAACAAAGAATGGCGAACAAGTTCGTTTTCGTATTCATGCCAATACATCACAATAAATATTACGATATTGATATATATATGTATCAGTATTCAACTGTTTTGGGAAAGGGAAAATTAGCACCATAGGTTATTTGGGTATAATTTCGTCTTCTAACCGGGTACGAAATTCTCAATGATCACATAGTTGTTAGTTCATCCGACTACTTGGGATATGGGGCGTGTGTGGAGGGAGGAGGGGGACGGGGGCTGGGGAACTTCACAAGTTGTTTTTCAGCACACAGTGTGTGGTTGTGCAGGCAAATTCCTACCGCTTCCGCGGCATCGAACCTGCCTTGATAGTCGACCACGAACCCGGTCACAGTGTGATTTGTTTCATCTAGGTATGAAACCACTGCACTAGTGAGGGACTTAATCGTTTCTGTATTTAGCCATGCGGGGTGGTGTTCTCGGCATTTTGTCCTTCAGTCGTAAACACAAAATTGGCTGGGACGCGAAAAGAACATTCAGTTTTGCTGCATAGGTCTTACAGCATCGGATAGTTTCCTTTGTATTACCTCTGCTGATTTATCCCTCTTGACAAGGTAATGTATGCGGACCTATTTTCTGACTCCAGCCTCTTTACAATGTCTCCACTGCAGTGAACTATCTTGCTAACCAGTCGTTCGGGATAGCCACTGTGTGCGAAGATAGCACGTAAGAACCGGAGCTCTTCTTATATTGTGTCCTCACTAAAAATGTTCTTTGCACTATCCGCTAGGCAGTGCACGAAATTCCTCTTCAATTTGAGCAGCAAAAAGCTGCGAAAATGGGTGTATTGGTCCTGTCAAGTTGCCTTCCTATTCATTAAGTGTTGCATCGAGCCACTCAATCTACGACTCAGACAAACGTCTAGAAATGCCAGTTAGTTGTCGTTTTCTATTTCTACAGTGAATCTTATGTTTTGGTGAATTGAACTTGCTCAATAGCTCGTTTGTTCCTGATTTCGTGTTGATCACACACAGAATATCATCCACATACCGTGCGTATATCACACAATCCTCAATGGAAGATTTGATTTAGCAATTATCAGATAACATAACCAACATTAACAGATAACATAACTATGATGTGAACAACTGATTGAATGAATGAACAACCGAAAGTTAATGCACAAAGGCCACCAGATTATGAGTGTATGGTCACGAAAGGAACAGCATTCTTTCTAACCACGCAAACCTCACGGGGGCACATTGAAACACTGGAAGTTCGACATCACCGCTTACGTAGCACTTAGCATTCAGCAATGTCCCCGATGGGGCCAGGCTGTCACTAAGCCCGATTAAGCATGATAATCTGAAGGTCACTTCGCCTCGAATAATATCTTTAGAAGTCATTTGTATTACTGGCAGCAGATGTACATGCCTTGCTGTGATATTAGATTCACGAACATGTTCCTATGACGGGAAGAGTGTAAGTAAAATGTACGGATAATTTCCTCGGTCGTTACTAGTTGGTGGACAAACACAACAGGCGGGGGTGGGGCATTTCCCAAGTAAATTATTGACTCCTTGGGTGCAATTTCCCTCGACTAGAGAGTGCTGCAAACCGGTTTGGCTCTCCTATCCAACGGTTTCTCGAAGCAAGACCACCATCATACCCTAACGGCTATTTGAAAGAAACAAGACAGTTAGGCAATAAATGGCGGCAAACAGATAGTCCTCAAATAGTAGCCCAGTCCTAACGGAAATTCTAAACATTCGTAATAGTAGTACTGGTGGTACTCAGTATCATCTGGTACACAGCAAGAGTTAGTTGACCATCTTGTTTCAGTGTATTTTTTTATTATACACACTAGACGGGGCGAACCCCATAGTCACGAGGAACTGCTGTTCAGTGGTGGAAACCGGCAACCTAAACCCCGAGACTTGGAGTGGCGAACCACATAAGGCCCGGCTGGTTGGACCGGACGGCAGCAGAGCTACCTACCACCGAAGTCGGGTGTCGGGGCTCGAACCCCGAACCATAGGGTCTAAAGCGCGCCAGTGACAACGACTAAACCCCTGCGCCACTACCACTCACATTTAGGAAACACGTGTAGAAATACATAGCAGGGACATAAATGCGATTAAACGATACTGGTATTGAGAAAATCGAACTCCCGAGAATAAATGAACACACCACATTTAACAGTCGCAACCAATAAACTATGGAAAACTCAAGAGTTACCTCATTTCGTCGAACGAATTCACGCTCCTCAATCAATCTTAGAAGAGTGGCCCAATCGTGGCCTAGTTCACGAGCCAGAAATGCTGAGTCGCGATCTTTACTACCATGACGATCGTTTACCGGTAGTCTGAGTCGAGCTTCACTCAGAAGTACTGCGGATTCACAGCAGCCTCCCATAATAGAGCCTCGAGAAGAACCGATGTACTGGAGCCAGTTTTTGTGTGCTAGGTGCTGAAACTCCGGCTGAAGTTTTTCTTGAGGAAGCGGAGATTCGCCTCGACCGTGGAAAAATGCCTGTGGGACGGCATAGAACTCAGCTTGCAGCATATCACCAATTGCTGCGGACACTACGTCGACGATCTGCCGACAGGATCATAAAACGAGAGTCACAAAATTCGAATTTGTTATAGAGGACTAAACGGAAATCAAAAGAAGTCCTCAGCACAGTGTGCAGTAAACAACACACCTTCATTCTCAGTACAGTTGGGACCCAGACAAGACTCATGGTTACCAGTGAATACACTGAAAATGAAACGCACTATTAACCCAGGGGGATTAAAAAAAATCTTCGGCATCTTTCACCACATAATAAGAGTAATGAAAGACTGTTTCTGAAGAGCACTTCATTCCTCTTTCTATCAGGTTGATCAGACGATAAGAATAATTACCAGGAGTCATATGGCATCAGACGTTTCAGAAGAGTCAGGAAAAATTGCACGCCATGGTCTCCTTTAGGTAAATACATCAATGGAAAATGCTCTGTTCAGTCAGCATCTTGTTTGTATGAACAAAGATCGATGAGTGCGGGAGCGGGAAATATGACTATTACATAAAGTCAAGTAAGAGGCGATCTACGCTACTGAAACCCATAAATGGCATTCCCAGTAACAGATGCATAAAACGAAATGTGGGTTACTGAGGGAATTATGAGTCGCGTTCAACGTATTTTATCAGTAAGAGAATGGTTGGATTGGTAAAAATGAGGAAGAACGGAAAAAAATTCAGTTTCTGCTCGTCGTGGATGATCGGAACATTCCATTACGGATAAAGTACACACCGGCTGGACAAGAGAAATAGACTCAGAAAGCTTCGGTTTCCTGGAATCCACATTGATGTCAAATCAAGTCAAGTCAAGGAATGGTTTTGTACACCCCAAAAAGTGAATATTCAGTAACCACATAACAATAGTGTGAACAAAAAGTGGAAAAAACAACAACCGCAGTGTGATTCAGCAATTAAAGGACGTGAAAAAGGACAGCAACATCAAAATCAGTGGCATACCCGGGTGTATAGAATGGATTTAGTGTAACATTTGGCGCAGATTTCCTGCAACAAGTTCATGGTTTGTTAAAAATCTNAATAGACCGCCTGTAAGCTTCAGTGCGTGTCTTTAAAAGTTTGTGAGTGGAACGGGTGGATGAGTGAGAAAGGCACCGACTGAGGGCGGAATAAAGAGGATGAGAGATATCAGATAAAATCTTGTTGGAGAATGTTTTACAGGACTTGAAGTGATGTGTAACCACATACTGTGCTAGATGTTCCCGTGGTATGAGACTACAAGCTGACAGAAATCTGATGGATCAGGAAATGAGTTTGAGGTCCTTGTTCAAAAGACCAGGGAAGATAACAGGGGACCCATAGAGCCAGTGAGGCAAAACGCACGCAAAAACAAAACGCCTGATAAGATGGTTTGGAATGGAAAGTTATTCAAGACGTAAAGCATAAAACGTGAGTTTCCTGACCTTCAGAAAAACGTTATTGACGTGGTCAGACCAGGCGAGGTTACGGTTGAAAATAACGCCCAGGTATTTGACAGACGGTTGTCGTTCCACCTGGTCACTGAGGATAGATAAAGGTGGGCTGGCGTTTGATAGTTCATCATACTTTTGGCCTTTCAAAAAAATTACGTCGTTACATTTTTGGGGGTTCATGCGGAGGTTCCTTTGTTGTGACCACTCAACTAGTTCAGAGTCGTTTGAAATGATGAGTTGGGGTAGGGCAGTCCGAATATTATGTCGTCTACATACTTGGTGGGAAGGGAAGGATTGCTCACAGGCATAGAGGAAATGTAAGCGAAAAATAGAAAAGAGGATAAAATAGCACCTTGTAGTACGCCTTCTGGGGAGGGCAGCAGTGAAGATGCACGACCTTTGTAGCGTGTGAACTGCTGACGGTTGGAGAAATAGTTGGCCAAGAGTTCAATCGTAGAAGGTTGAATTCCGCCCCAAGAGAGGGTATTTAATAAAGTTTGTCGATCAATAATGTTGAAAGCATCACTGTAGTCAAGAAAACATGCGTACAGCCTTGCTTTTCTTATCCAGGTTAGATAAAACATAGTGGGACAGATAAGCAAGGGCATTCAGGGTACCACGGGAATGGGTGTATGCAAACTGGTTCGGGTCAACAACATTGAATTGTGCGGACAGGGTCTTGAGGAGGAGCCTCTCAAACACCTTCAAGACAACTGAGGTCTAGGCAATGGGGACGGAATTTTGAGGATCCTTTTTCAAGTACAGGGGTGACAGAAGCTACTCTAGCATTCGGGCATACGTTGCTGCAAAATACGATCACTGAAAAGTTCACTTAGCACAGGGGAAAGGAAGACAGCACATTCTTTCAGGACAGCGAGTGAGGCTCCGTCGGGGCTGCAGGACTAATGAAACTTGTCTGAAACTTCACATGTGTGAAGTGTTAGGACGAAGTTTAAGCAACCCGTCCGATCGCGCACGCCTTCGAGTCAGGCCACACGCACGCTTGCAACGCTCCAGACAGGCCGAGTCCGATTGGATGATCACTGAACGAATCTGCCAATGTTTGTCCGATCGATCAATCGACATGTCAAGGACACAATCTGATTGATGTGTCACTGCGCTGTTCTCGTATGCGCGATTTGTTCCATATAATTGCGTATCGATATCCAATCAAGGAAAACACACTGAGTGTTGTCTCAATCTGTGTTGTCTTTTCGCGATATCGTGTGGGGTTAAGCAAGAGTCGTTCGTGTCATTCGTACGTCTAGTCCGAACACAACATGAAACAATCTCCTGGTCGAAGGTTAGAGATCATCTAGTGTTTTCCTTCAGAAGTGTGCATACGCTAGATTCTGGACCAAAACACCGCCTTCGGCTGGCCGAAGCCCACTCTGTTATTAAAGGAAAATAAACTATGAACATTGTTTTATTACAGACTCTTGTATGATGAACAGCAGGAGTAAACCCTATAACCACAAGGACCTACTGTTCAAGCACGGAAATCGCTAGCCTACGCTGAGGGACTTGCATTAGCTAACCAACCACATAAGAACCCGCCAGGTTATGCGTGACATTACGCATCTTGACTACAAGGTTGAGTCAAATCTGAGCGTAATTTAAACTCATCGATACGGTATCGGTTCTGCAGATCTTCAATGATCAGTTTAAATGAGAGGGGAAAGTGTGAAAAAATACAATACAGATACGCAAAACGTAAACTCACTTTTGCGTTATGAAAACTAGCGAGAGTAGTTGACACGGATGCCAGAAGTACATCGCCAGCCAACGTGGCTAACTTATTTCCCAACTCCATATTTTTTACCCAAGTTTCGTCATCTTCATCTTCGGATCCCGAAACTTCACGAGACCAACACCGGCTTTCCTTATTTGGATGAACCAGACTTCTGGATATAAAAATGTAGGAATGGCAAAACGCATATCGGTCTTATAGTCCCGTGACATGTTCGTTTTTTTAGATTGGATCACATTAGGACAAATGAACTGACAGTATAGAAACGTGGTGGCCAGAAAGTAGCATGGTGTAATCTCAGACTCGCATTTAACCATGACTGATCAACGAATACAAGAGTATGGAGCAAAACTACACCTCGAATTCAGGCAGCCTGGTACGTTAGTTTTCTTCCAACGCTTCAATTAACTACACTAGGGAATCAATGAATTGTGAGAAAAGTGAACTTCCCAGCCAATTGGAGTGCAATGATTAACCTTTTCTTCCCAAACTAATGGAAAGTAATATGAGGAATGATTTTTGTCTTTAGTATTTTTTATTACACACATGAGTGTGATGAACAGCGGACGGGGCGAACCCCATAGTCACGAGGACCTGCCGTTCAGTGGTGGTAGTAAGGCAAACGGTATGTTCAAAGATTGACCGTTCTGTCGGAACGTATGAGGGTACGACTAATTCTGCCCACCCTGGCGTTTTTAATCCGATTCACTGAACAACTTCAACCGAAATATCATACAAAACTTAGAGCGATTAATAGCAGAAGGGGTGAACCCCTTAGTCATAAAAACCCACAGTCAAGCTGTGGCACCGAGAATCTAAGCAATGCGACTTCAAGTAGTGAATTATGTAAGGCTCCAATGGCATTGTTGAGATATAGAGGTGGCTCACGGTGTAGCGCATATCGGCTTGAGAGCATAAATATTTTATTGGAGGTAATCGTCACAATCGGACAAGGGCATCACACAGCAGCAGACTATACCGAATAACTAAACGTACTTGTGGATTGTTACAGCCATGTGCACTGTTTCAAACAACTCAGCCAGACTGCGGTGCTGATTTGACAGTACAGTTGATCCAACCGAATTACCCGCGCGACATTGTCCGACGAGTAAAATGATCAGTCCACCGCACGGATAGGGAGAAGATGGTGAGGATGACCGTGTTGGAGAAAACTTTTGTGAGAAAGGAAGAAGCGAAGAAGATACTGNTCTCCCACGTAGGCATGCACGAACAGACGAGAAAAACGGGTGATCTGTTGTTGCGGCTAACCGACGGGCGCGAGACGCCAAAAATCCGGCCTCAGAAGACATTAGTGAAGTAAGATTGATAAAAGGAGCCGGACCACCAAGCAACTTCTCCGCTTTTGTGATAAGATTTGACCAATTCGAAGGCATGTTTGAACAAACCAAGGATTTTACTGGACACCAGAAGGTTGATAAGGTGGAACGTGGGGGTTAGCACTAGCCAGCAAAAAGTCTAAATCAAGCTCCGACCAACGAGATTCGACCACAGAATCTTGTGTTAAGCAATCCAAGGAGCTTTGTTTGTCCGCCAAGGGCGGCTCCGTTTCCGGTAAGCAAGAAGCGTGTACAAGAATATGTTCAAAAGGCAATACGTCTTCCCGCCAATCAGAAGTAACCAAATCGATTAATGGACCGTCAGTTATGTACTCACCATCAGACATCAGTGCGCTAAAAGATAAAGAAACGGTATCTACGGCAATTGTATTCCAAGATGAATAGACAAATGGATACGTCGGCAAATGTGAAATGACAGAAATAACAATAAATGCGCACCTTAGAACTAAAAATAGGGTTCTATTCACACAAGCATCAAAAGTAGAAAAAAGCATTGCCAAATAATGGTTACATTGTTCATAAGTCTTTTACTGCGATCCGCCTGACAGTCTGAACTCAGATCAACCAAAGTACCTAAACAAGAGGAATTCTGCTACTTTTGGTCTTTGCCTGACACCTTATCCTCATCTTTTGGCTCGTGTTGACTGCACACACAATGGGGAGGGCACACAAACACCAGCAAACCGATCAATGGGCGAGCTCAAACAAGTCAGGCCGCTTGAGATTTCTAGACATGCGGAGCCAGTAACTGAAGAAAAACGTTTAAGACCTAGACGGAGGAGATCGGTGTTATCATTCATCGACTTTTGCATCCTCACAACGTTGGTCTGAACTCCATTTCACTTCCAGATGGCACTTACAAGCCGCGAGGCCCAGTGCTGCCTTGCCGGAATCCCCTGGATATCCAAAAAATATCCAGGTGACATTAGAGAAACAATTTTGTGGATTATTACCCGGTGCTTATACGGGAAGTGCATTAATAAATCCTATGCTCGTCCATTGTACGACGCTCCGAGAAGCGACGCGATTTGTGACGCGCTAATCGGAAGACTCCACAAAACCTACCGGTCTACATTACCTGAAAAGTTCGCATCCTAACTGACCAAGGAAGTCAGTTTATTACGACAAGCTCTGTATGAGTACCAACGGAATATAGCTTATATGTGGAACATCGAATACCAGACACTCGTGTGAAATAAACCGAGATCCTATGAATACACATTAATACATACATACGGTGGCGGGACCATTGGTCACGCACGGCATCCATGGCGTAGCACTTATCCTCAACTTTAAGGCCAATATCGCCATAATAAGCGGGGTAGTCTATTTCACTGAAGTTACTTTAGTCCAGCACCTTGAGTAACATTTTAGTAAGTCGTTGGACCACTTTTGATTGACTAAAGAAGTTCATCACAATAATCCGAGATCCTCAGTAATCCGCTGATCTGTCCCCGTTTTTTTCTCATTCCACTGGATTCTACAAATCACGCTGAAAACTCACTCGTTTTTGGTGCATAAAGGTTATTTTAAATGAACTTGAAAAATATCTGACGGTTAAGAAACCTTGGTATGTTCGGGCTGGATGTTTTCCTTATGACTGACCACCCTTCCCTATATATAAATATATATATATTTATATATATTTATATATACCACCGGCTTGAAGACAAGCATGGTGCCAACGCAACAACAATACTAACAGTAACAACAAAACGGGATAGGTGGATTGGGGTACAGAACATAGTGAAAAGGGGGTGAAACAGTTAAACATGAGAAAATACAGAATTTTTGTGTTTCACCGTACATCTTTTGCAATTTTTTGTGTTGGTTGTTGTGTTTTTTTTACTGGGCACGGGATTTCGACAGACAGACCGTACAGCATTCGCGCCACTGACTTCTATTCTGTGCCATATCTCTCAGCGTCTCTAACCAGCGACAATCCTCATCCCTTGGGCCCCAACCTGGAAGGCGGGCTGCACCAACCGAAGCCAAAGCTGAAGCCAGCTTCTTCATGCCTCTAACCCATGTCATGGTCTGACCGCCGCGCCGCTTCTTCCAGTCTTGTCCGGCACGTGCGAAGGGAGCACGGAAAGGTAGTCAATGGGCAGGCATACGCAATACGTGACCAAGCCATCGGAGGCGGTGTAGAACGATTACTTCTGTTGGAGAACAACTATCCGCACACAACACACGACGACGAACCTCGTCATTGCTCACCCGGTGTTCCCACCAGACACGAGCTTCGGAGACATCGGTGGTCAAATACAGAAAGTCGCTTAGCATCCTCAACGCGGAGGGGCCAGGTCTCGCAACTGTAAAGGAGAACGCTACAAACCGCGGCGATGTACACTCTTCCATTAAGGGACAATCGGATGTCATGGCGGCGCCACAGGTGTCGCAGGTTGGCGAAAGCTGCTCTAGCTTTCGCTATTCGTGATGTGATCTCGTCCCCAACACCACCACCAGCTGCGATC